GAAAAAAAATTGGTGGGTTGGAATTTAAATTTATCCAATAGAAAAATGCCACGTAATAATTATTAATAATAAAAAATAAAAAATAAAAGATTGTTAGTTTTAAGGGTAATAGTGGACCAAAAAGGTGGATTGAGGGGTATATTTAACTCAATAGGTGGATGAGGGGTATTCTTAGACCTTTTCGAATAGTTCAGGGGTATTTTTGGCCCTTTTCCGTTAAATATTTGCAAGTAAAGTAAAAGAAGAGTTTTTTATCCCTACCAGCCATCGGAGTTTGCTAGGACATCCTCGAATATTTGGTATGATGGTGTGGTTAGGGAAGAAGCTGCAGCTATGGGTTTTGGCTCTGACCCAAGGATGGTAGGAACCAACTACCGATTTGAACATCCCAATCCTTCATTGTCCTGTCAGTATCAACAGTCTCCTATCAATACGTCCACGGGTTGGCTCTCTCCCGAAGACCCTCTGATGGATAAAGTGATTCCCACAGTTATCAACAGTAACGTCAGCTTCAGTGAAGAAGGACCAGGCAGTACTCAAGTCGTTGGGAGTTGCAATGCGGTGATTTTAGAAGCCGTGATATCACCATCTGTCGTTACTAAGGTTCACCAGCCTCTTCTCACCAACTATTATCATATCTCTAAATTTGGAGACAATGATACTATACCTTCTCAGAAGGTTCGTGTTCCTGTAACATTAAAAGTTGCAGTTCCAAACAACAAAGATAATTGCAAAATGAACTTGGATTTGGAGGTTGAATTGGGGGAGAATGGAATTGATAAGGAGGAGGAAGAGTTTTCTCGAAGTCCATCACCCCTTGATGTGAATGCACACAAGGTGTTTGATGAAAGCTCTCTGAGAACTTGTGAAACCTATGTTGATGTGCCTTCTCAAGCAATTGATGTTTCACAAAGTTTTATTGAACTAGAAACTACTACCAAGAGCATAACAGAGTCAGTAGTAATTTTTGATCAAACATCATATGACACCACTGCTACTTTTAATGGCTATCCACCTACTTATTATGAGCTTCAAGTGAAGAATCTGGAATCCAAATGCTTTTTTACTGATTTTGTTATTCCTTATCAGGTTCGTGCTCTTGAAATTCTTGCTTTCAGCAGTGACATGGTTGTATACAACAAGGAAGACAACCCTATGAAGTTAGCTTTGGTCGATAGTGTTTATCCAAAAAAGGAAGGAAAGACTTGTGTGTTAAATGTTGTAAAAGAATCAAATCAGTTCATTGTTATTAACAGCCCTTCTATGGAAGAGAAAATGGTAACAACAGTGGAGTATTTCTTAAAGTTGAGTCAACTTAAGAAAAAAGAAGAGAGGAGGAGACAAAAAGATCAATGGGAAGAAATGCCAACTTGTGATGTTGTGGGTTATTTTGACAAATTAAATTGCATCGGGAATGAAGATTCTGTTACTACTGCAAGTTTCTCTGAGGAGAAAGGCAAAATAGTTGTAGCCCTTGCAGATGAAGAGTGTGCCGAATTCCATTTAGGTCTGAAATTTTCACTTGGACTATTCATCAGAAGCAACATCCCTACTACAGGAGAATGTCCAGCTGCTTTCGAGAGGCATTTTACGACATATAGAGGTTGCTCATTTTTGAAAATCCGAATTAGGTACTTGGGGAGATCTTCTATATCGCAAGAGATGTTGCTTAGGGGTTATCCATTACAAAAGAAGATTGAGTTTCCAATGTCGAGCAACAACTTTTTATTTTCTCTAGTTAACTGTTGTGGCGCTTTATTGCTAAGTGGGGTAGATACTAATTCAGCTTTAGCTCCTGCTGCAGCTACTGTAATAAAGAGACCTGAAGCTATACAAGTGCCAGGAAGCGCTAAGGTTAGTGCAATTCGAGTACTTGAGAAATATTTAAAATGGCAAGGTTTTTTAATGGTTGATTGTGGTTGCGTGACTTGTTCATGGAAGTCTGTGAATTTAGATGAATCAATCGTTTCTACTAAATTAGAAAATGACAACGTTGTTATTGTTGTACTCACGGGAAAACGAAACCTCGAGGAGTATGTTCAATTCTCGTGGAGAGCAAACTTCCCTGCTTCACTTCCTTTGACATTTGCTGATGCTCTTACCAACATTGTTGACCAAGTTGAGATTAGAGCTCATATATTTGGTGATTGTTTACGATTTCCATTTGATCCAGGTGACTGTTTTCACTTATGCTCATGTTTGTTTAGATGCTTCCTTGAGGTCAAGGAAGTTTTGAAGGAGGGAGTACTGATACAATTTGGAAATAGAGCACTTGTTGGTCAGATTATTTCATGGAATTTTCCTATTTTCATGGCTCTTTCTATATACTACAACACCATTTTAAACATCTTGGGTATTGGAAAATCAAGGCTTTACAATTCTTATTTTGAAAGATTGGGACAAGGTGGAATGAGTATTGCTAACAATCTGCAATGGTGGTTGACAAGGGATACCGTCTCCTTACTTGCTATTTTCAGTACTCAGTTGATCACACACCTACTAAACGATCTTTCTGCTTCTAGGAGCCATTTGTATCAGCCCTTGGATATCATTTTCTCTCAAGATCATAGTCACAATGGCTGCTCACTCAAAGAGAAGAAATATAGTTGCCTAGTTGACTGGAGGAGTAAATTGAGGGAACTAAACTATAGTCTAAAATTCATAAAAAAGTTGGGTAGGGATCAAATTCAGTTGGTAAGTATATTACATGGTGGTAATATTGCATCAGATGACTTACTTCAACTTTGGCATGGTCTTGCAATGAAAATGATACTAGAATTAAAAGATGGACTACTACAACTTGGCAGCATTTTGAGGCTCATTGTTGCACTTTCAGTTTTCAATGTTGTCTCTTTTACATGGTTTATTCTACATGTCCTTGGAGAACCTCTACACGAGTCATCCATTCTCTCGGTAGTTGGCAAGGCTCCAGGAAAACAGGGTAGAGATATGAGGAATCGACTCAATGTAATTACCTTGTTGGTTCTTAAAGCTGCTGGCTGGAAGTTCACTGATATTGGGTTGGAAAATACTGCCCATGTGCTTGTCTTCTCCTTGCAGTATGACTTTGTTAAGCATGAGTTTTGGAAGCATAAATTCAAGGATGCTTACTGGAGTTCAAGTGAATTTTGGAAGACACTCACTATACCCTTCATGTTTTTAACCTTGAGGACAAGGTTTATTTTAAGGGGGAAGGAATGTTGCAAGTTGAACCAAGGGAGTTCAATAGTGGCATATTTACATAGTTTCCATCCTTTACATTTTAGTCCCAATTTTCTATTCCTATTTCTTTAAGATCCTAAGTTAGTTTATTAGGGTAGTATTGTCATTTCTATTTGTCTAGGGTTTAGTTTTACATTGTATAAATACCTTGTATGTACTCATTTGGGGATATGAATGAAATTATCCTTAGCTTAACTTAGCCTAGTTCTTACTTTAACTTAGTTTGTAGTTTGTTTCCTTCTCGACTTCCATTCTTGCATCAGAAAGGGGAAGCATTTTCTGTCTGAATTTTTTCATATTCAAAAGTTGAATCCCCAAAATCTTTGGTTAAAGATAAAAGAACTTATCCATTAATTCACCATATATAATCTTTGGTGATAAGTATTCTTTGGTGTTCAGCCTAGATAAAAACTCGAAACTTGAAGGTTTTTGGCTTGATGTCCCCCTTCTATTTGTATTTCTCTTTTGATTAATGCACATGGTAGAAGTCATACCACCCCACCACCTCTGGAAGATACCTTGGATGGTTGATTTTTTTTAATTATCATTTACAATTTGAAAAGAAAAAAATGATTATGCAAAAGTCTCTTGTGTGTTATTTTCAAATATCTTTATGTGTAAACTAAAAAATAAATACATAAAAGGTTGAAAAATTGATTGAAATTAATAGAAGTGACAATAACATATTCACTGTGATTCCATAAGTAAGGTGTGGAGTCGGGAGAGGTGAGGTATATCTAGACTAAGGTTAGATATTGTTTCCAGTAGACCATCAACTAAGAATAACGTTTTCAAATTAAAATAGGTTTGAGAACAATAATTTATATAGATCTCTACTTTTGCAGAATACAATAATTACAATGATGTTCATTCACCTTTTTTGGTTATTATGTTAGAAATTAAAGTCATTTTGTACCAGCAAGCATATAATAGTGCAGCAATATGGAAGAACAAATTATACAGGTTGGTCCCTCTATTTCTATGATCAAAATGTACCACATTTAATATATATGCCATTTCAATCAATTTTGGTCCCTCCATAGGTACTATTGAGCAGTAATAGTACTTTTTCTTCAAGTAGATTGTGAATCCAACACTAATGTTCTGCAGCTGATTGATGTGTGCGTATATGGATTCTGAACCACAATTCTTTGGTATAATTTACATAAATCCTATAGTGTTAGGAGCTAATTGCATTATTTCCCTACTATTTTTCAAAATTTATGGATTTCGGATACATCACTAAACTTTCGGATACATCAACAAACTTCCGGATACATTGGGGAGGGAGATCCGAGAGGGCAGGGATGTATCAAAGAGGGAATAGGACATCCGGATACATAGGGTAGGAATGTATCCGAGAGGGGAGGGATGTATCCGAGAGAGAAGGGATGTATCAGAGAGGTGAGTGATGTATCTGAGAGGGAGATAGGGATGTATCAGTGAGAGTAGAATGATGTATCCAAAAGGGGATTTTTGAAAAAAATTTAAATGATAATTTTTTTTAGAGATTATGGTAAAATAAGATGTGTATTTAGGTAATTTTTCCAATTCATTTTGCTTACTTGGGATTCTAAATAGAAACTACTATTTATTTTATACCTACTTTACATAAACAATTTAAACATAAATACATGAATTGAGTTGAAGTTATTGAATTATGTTGATTCTGTAATCATTACTGTGGCCACCACGTATGTGTATATGTGGAGGGAGATATGAGAGGAGGGAATACAAGAACCATATTATTCATTAAACAAGAAGAAATATATAAACTTCATCAATACAAAGTCTCAAATTATAACAACATATTTTGTTACATAATTAAAGGGCCAAAGTGAAGGATCACATATAGTAGTACATATTGCATCACTAGTTGAATAGACATACACAAGTTGATTCCTTTAGATGAGTCATATCCCCCCTAAAGGTTTAGTCAAAACAAACTTCACATAGCCAGCAGCAACACAATGCAAAGAGGCTTTGCAAAAAAAAAAAAAAAAAGACAATTAATCTAGTTAGAGTTCATGATAGAAATTAATTATTAGAGAATACTATATAATATGTCTCTTATGATTTGAGACCATATATTTGCAAATAATTTTACTTAACAAACTTACCATCCTTCCAAGAACCCTCTTTCTCCTCTTGGCTTACTTCTTGGCCACCCTTTCATCTTCTTCTTTTTGTTCTCATTTGGAGTAAATTCAATGGGATAGCCTTTAACCCATACAAAAGTAAAAAGATGTTGGTTTAGAATGAGTGTGATATTAATTAGTACATGTACACATTTTAACTTTTTTTTTTTTTACATATATATTATTATAATACGAGCAGAAAACAATAGGTTCAATTGAACCCGTCTTAACTCTCCACCCCGCGCCATGAGTTGTTGTGCACGTGCTTGAGAGCGTGAAATAAAGGGAGGTGTGTGTGTTGGGGAAGGGGGTCGGGGGGGGGGGTTGAGGACAGTGGCGAAGCTTCAATTTTCACAAAGAAATTCATATATCTACCATATTTTATAAATTTATTCCTGTATTTTAGCTCCGCCCTTGATAGATGGGAAATAAATATATACATACCTAAAGGAGGTTGGTTTACTTGGTTTTCTTGCTTTTGCATATTGAAAGATGGTGTGTATATATATATATATATATATATGATTTAAGTTATAAACAATTGATTGGATGAAAAGTGTGCAAGTACTTGTTTCTATTTTGCAAATGCTACCCTCTATTTATACAATTTCAGTTGGATTGACAAGAGGCAAAAGGAAATTAGGATGCAACATACAAGTGTAAATAGAATTAGAATGTTAACTTTAATATACTTTAACAACTTGTTTGGTCAAATTTCTGGGAATTGAAGTCGAAAGTGTTTTTTATTACTTTTATTATTAAAAAAATGCTTATGTTATAGAGTTAATATGTTTAATTTGATCAAGTTTTTAGGAAAGGGATAAATGTTTTTGAGTAGTAACATAAGTTGTTTTTGGAGGTTAACGGATGTTTTTTCTGAAGAACTTTTGAAATCTTGATCACACTTATATTTATAAGAATATTTTTCAAGTTGATTAGTCAAACACAAATTACTACTCTATAGAAGTATTTTTTTGAAAAATATGTCTGATAACAAATACTTTTAAAATAACCTGATTTTAAGAGATTAACCAAATAAGCTGTAATTGTGTTAAAATAGTTTTTTGTGAACAACAGAAGTTGCTTAAGAAATTCGTATATCTACCATATTTTAAAATAGTATATTACTCCAAAGGAAGCCAAAAATGACTTTAAAAAAAATAAATACAAAATAAAGTAAAAGTATGAACCAAAAAAGAAAAAAGCTATGTAGTTGGTGACTTGCTGATTCACTAAAATTACATAGTACTATACTTTCCTCCTAAGTAAACGTTTTAAAAATAGTTTTGAAGAAAGAATATATTCTCTAATTTTATATTTTTATATTTATTGTTGGAATGTCCAAAAAAAAATAATTGAAATCCACTAATAAGAAAGACATTATAAGTTTTTTTTTTTGTTCAAACTATGAAAGATAAGGAATTTGTTGGATTGAGTTTGGAGAGGGACAAATAGCATAAGAGATTCTTTTGTTTATTGGAATAATATTATATTGGCTTAATAATATTGACCATGTTAGTGAGTTTTAATTAAACTTAAACACTCAAAATACAACTTGTTTAATTTAGACACCTAAATATATGATTAAGATGTTTTATCAGATACTTTTATTTCAAATTTGAATAAGACTATTGTCAGCCCTATTGAGTAAGGCAGCCCATTGCTACTTTGAGTATTCTTTACTTAAGGCCCTAGACATGCCAGTTGGTAGCAAAGGCCTTTGTTGGATTACACAACTATCCAAAAATATTTCCTCGTTCGTAATTTATGCGATACATTTTTTTTTACTTTGTCCTCCAAACTCCAAAGAATATTACCTTTTCTTATTTAACCATTATTTGATGGCAGCATCTTCATTACACTCGGGTCATACTTAAAACTTTATTGTAAAGAAAAGTCAATTAAAAATAAGCACTATAGTGACTTTAATAAGAACAATTCGCCTAACATAACAAAATCTTTTTTTATTTCTTAACTTCCGTAAAAGTAAGCGTTAAATTGTCTTTAACAAGGACAATCTGGTAATAATAAACTAAATAAAATCTTCTTTTATTTTCTTAAACTTCATATCTGATCAAACAGTACCACATCTATAGGAACGAAAAGAGTGCTACTTAATATTAGCTAAAAGGTAATACACACAAACACAAAACTATTAAACTTTTGGACCTACCCTAAGTAAAATAACGCTATATTATTTCTAATTAATGTGACGTGAAAGAGCATTGCAAATTGCTATGACACTGACCTAGAACTATATATATAAAAAAAAGTCACTTAAAATTATATATTACCTAGGTATATATTTTAATTCTCTTGTTTTGATGGAAGGCCAGTTGGATTACCTTGTAATTTAGTGAACTTTTTGACACTTATATAATAATAATAATAATAATAATAATAATAATAATAAATTGTATTGGTTCATCTATTATTACTACGTTCGAGTATTTACTCATGGTTTATAATACAAATTTACAAAAGACGCCAACAAACAAACAAAAAGATTAAAAAACACACACCCTATTCCTACTTGGCTCGTGACTCTTTGTTTTTTCATAGGCCTTGAAAATCAAGTCCCAAAATGCTCATTTCATATTTGACATAGTAGTAGTAGAGCCTGTTCGGATAGATTTATCACTTATGTTTTACAAATTAAAAATTATAAGATAACATTTTTAACATAATTTTATTTAATTTTATATAACCATAAATTACTTTAATTAAAACACTAAAAATAAATCGATTCAAATATTTTCTATATATTCCATTAAAGAGTTGCTTATATATTCCAAATGGGGACATTTCACGTCACATGACTTGCATCAAATTTTCCACCAGCCTATGTCTTTTTCCTTAGGTTGAGAAAAGCATTATCCTATTCCCATATCCTCTTGTTCTTTTTTTTATTCGATGTTAAGAAGTTATATTGAAGTATTTTACGTATTATTTGAATAGTTTTGATCTTTTAATTTCTTTAAAGTGAGTTTCTTTTTAATCTCTATCGAATATTTATCAAATTTTCATAGTTAAATTTTAATCCAACTATGAAGATATAAAATACCCAACGGGAACTCATATTTGGAATATAATTTTAGTAGTTTATGTTATTTTGGTTTTTCAATAGTCTGTAGCAATTTTTCGAGGAGCAATTTCTATCAAGTATTATTTTTATCTATTTTTCGTGTCTGGTGTAGTTTCATGTCACAATTATTTTGATAAAATATTCAAGTATTTATGATTACTTTTTCTCATGTTAAATTTAGCTATTATAGTTTGGTAAATATTAAAAATGCTTACTTTTGGTGATCTCAAATGACCATAACTGCTTAAATAATACTTAGAAGACTAATTTGAACCTATTATCAAAGATAAGGGACCATTTCTGTCACTTCTCCCAAAATTCTATAACAATTACATGAGCGGAATTTGAAACTATATGATAACTGTTTTTTTTTTTTAACAATTACGAAGACCGATAAATGGCTATTTATGAAATTTACCTTAATATTACACCATGCTTAGATTTAATTGGATTTTTTATTGTAAAAAATTCTACTATATTAATAAATAAAATAAACTATTTATTATATATATATATAACGACAAAGACAATTTTTTAAATAATTAGTCAAAATCACACAAATATAAATCTCACGTGTGATATTGTTGCATTTTTTATATATACCCTACCTACCTTGGTCCACTATAATAATAATTTTTTGAATCTACTAGTTTTTATTAATTAATTCTTTTGCATAATTGAAATTTCATTTCCTCCTATTTTCTGCACCTGGAAACAGGAGTCAAGTTCAGAAGTATATAGAATAAAAACCATATGGTATAAATAGGATAAAAATGAATTATTTTAATTATATATAAACCTTTTAATCCCTTTGCCATAAGAAAGATTTTAATATGATGGTAAAAGTAATTCAAAATTTGCTTTTGGATTTTAAATCCTAGGGATGATATATTACTTTTGTAAATCCCTTTATATAAATTTCTAATTTAAAATTAGTCGAACATTAATTAGAATCTGGTATTTTGGGCCACAAATAAGATGGAATTTTTGGTTTATTTTGTTTCTTCCTAATACTACCAGTACTAGTCTTTGTTAAGTCATGGTCCACAATAGACAAATGGTTGGATGATGGGGTGGGTAGCAGTGGCGTAGACAGGAATTTTATAAAAGGTGTTCAGAAATAGTAGCTTGTTATGTTAAGAATGTCCAAAATATGTTATTTAATAATTTCGTGTATCATTTTACTTGTATATATGATATTTTTTCCGATGAATGGTGTCCAATTGGACACCCTTTCCACCATGTGGCTACGCCACTGGTGGGTGGTGGTTAGTCTGGAGGAAATAATGCGACTTGTTTTTACTATTTCAATTAATAAAAAAGTTATTTTTCTTAATTTTAAGAAGTATTTTTTTTTGAATTTTTTAACCAATGGAAAAAAAACATGTTCCTGCAGCTCGAACACATGACCCTTTATAAAGGATAGATGAAATCTACTTATTGATTTTATATAAGATGAGTAATCGTACTATATGATCGTTTGGAAGATATGGGCTCCCATGCACTACACACAAGAATTCAAAATTTTCAGGATGGGATCAACCTAAGCCCTCCATATTCTGACGTTATAAACATTGAACAACAATTTTACACCTATAATATTTAGAATAGTGATCGATTCTTAGAAAATTTATTTGAGAATATATTTTTTGTCATCATTATATATAAGGGAAACTATGCAATCAATTACGAATGATATGCTTGGCAGCAACACTGCAACTTGAGTTTGGTACGAAAAGAAAACACCTTTATGTAGTATTTATGAACAAATATAGGTATATAATAATCATAAAATTATTTATGATTTTTCTCTTAAAAACCCTACTTTCTGGAATAATGTAGAAAAGAAGAATCTTCACGCATTATATTTTATTTTTTTGCTGGATTAGAACATTTTGTTGTTTGCAAAAAGTCCAAAATGACATATTCTTATCGAACCTTAACGACTTTGTCCTAAAAGCACTTCAAACGGAAAACAATAATAAATTGTGAATTTGCCCACTCATCCAAATTGGTCCAAATAAGTAATTGGAAAGGGAAGGCTTTCTAAGGGTTGATTTGATTGGTGGGATTACAAATAATAATTTTAGAATAATTATATTTCTAGTTTGATTGAATTTTTAAGGGAAAAGACTCCAATTTTGACCGAAATTGTTGTTACGATACCAAACTTTATGGAGGACCTTTTATCCCTGCACTACTTAATAGTGTATTTTAAAAATATATATGTGCACGTTACTATTTATAATGATGCAATATTTATGATGTCCACGTGGACACATATATACCTTTTAAAATACACTATTAAATGGTGCAGGGGGTAAAAGGTTTTTTCCAAAGTTCGGTATTGTTACAGCAGTTTCGGTCAAAGTTCGAATATATTTCAGACATTTTTCCAAATTTTTAATTTTGGAATTAGTTATTTCGACATTATTTATACCATAATTGTGATATTATTGGTATAT